GCCTCAGAAAGGCAGTCTCCGCAACACCAGCCCTCAGGACACACACCGGCTTCGAGCTCCTCGGTGTCCACCTGGAAGGACCAGGCGCGTCGACCTCTTCATCCTCACGGGCAGGTCCGTGAGGTGCGGGACGGCTGGCGCTGAGGTGACGGCGTGCAACTACCTCGCGCCCCACTAGATCCAGGACACGAGAAAAAGTGAAGGGACCCGGAGTCCCCAAGTCATTTCGCGACCGCCCACCCGAGACTAGGCGGAGCCTCCAGGAAGCGCCACTACACGCTTTGCGTCTGCGCATGGGTCCGTGCCAGCACAGGAAGCGTCGAGAAAAGGCCGCTAGGGGGCAAGAAGGAGCACTGCGGCCGTGCGCATGCGCAGCAAGCTGCCGCCTTGTGAGGCTGGCTGCGTGCTGGATAGGCCCTTTTGTCGCCCTCTCCGTGGCTTGTAGCTGTGAGTTTTGGTCATGACTGCAGTGTAGGTGGTGGCCTCCACCTCAGAAAGACCTAGAAGCCTAGCTTGAGAGACTGCCCAAATTCAGTCGGGAGCCCCACTTCCCCCACCTTCAGGACCCTGGTTCAGAACTGGCCTCACCCTAGTTAAGATCAGGAGGCGTGCTGGGGAAGGTCAAGGCCAGGTACAGCCAGTTTCCCGGCAGTGTTTGGAAGAGGAACCAGATTTGGCCACATCTAGGATTCCAGATGGAACCCACGCGTTCCAGAAGGGCAACTTCCCCGTGCCCTGTCCACCTGTGGCCGTGGGGAGGTGGAGGACCAACAGTAGTCCTGTGTCCTCACAGGGCCCTAGGACCACCAACACGTTATATCATGCCTTCGCAAACACTGCCACCTGTTAACTGGCTTCAGGAGATGGAATATCCCAAAATGTCACAAGGAACCAGAGAAGGAACATGGATTGTGTTTCCTTAGTGCCTATGTGGGTTCGAGGTCAAATGGAGGTTGCCACACAGGGCCAGGCTGATAGTTGGAGTTTCTGCTCCACATTCTCAGCTCTTAGAAATGGCAAGATAGAGACCACAACACATCCCACCCAGCAGATTCACAGGCAGGCAGTGCAGCTGTTAGCTGTGTCTTCCATTTCTGCATGCTATTCTCTGTCCAGCAACTTGAAGTAGCCTAGACTCTCTGGACTTTCATATTTAAAGCCCAGTTCCCCCACCTTGACTGATCTGCCCTTTTGTCATCTCTGCCACTCAAGGGTTCCCTTTCCTGTGAGTATAAACCCTCATCTTCCCCAGGATGCCCTTTCCTCATTGCTGACCTACCAATCCTGTCCAGCCAAATTTGGTCACCCTTTCTGGTGCTCTGGCCATCTCTGATGAGTCTTGATTCTACTGTTCAGACAAATTGAACAATTTCAATTCATTGGTTCTTTACAAATGAGAAAAGGGAAAAATATTTGAAGACTGAGGCAGGAAAGTCACTTTAATCCAGGCACCCCAGACCATCCTGATAACACAGCAAGACCTCATCTTGATACAAACAGGTAAGAAAATCTCAGGTCAGAATTGGATCCTGATACTGTGATTTGGAAAATGTCATCTTATTCCTGGGGACTTCCCTAATTACTGCTCCTCCTGTGCCTTGGATCCCCTACTAGGTAGCCACTTCCCCAGGACTGAAATTATACCTTATAAATATGAAAAACTTCCAAATCTTTTGCAGTAATGTTGAGAAAATCACTAACACTAGAATAAATGAAAATATAACAAATATTTTTGTACTCTTCACAAAACCATCTTCTGTTTGCTTGGAGCTTTGTTTTTGCTTGTGGGATGTTTATTTGTTTTTTGAGAGTCTCAAACTATAGCTTCCTGTGTGTTGTTGGGCTTACAGGCACAAGCTACCATACCCAGCTCAAAATCGCCTTTATTAGTATCTGAGAAATATATACAGTATACCATGGGTTTAGGCTCCAAGTCAGCACAAATTAGTACTAATAAGGGCTATAATAGAGTTGGACCTGGTGGCACATACCTTTAATTCCACCACTTGGGAAGCTGAGGCAGGAGGACCATGAGGACAGACTAGACAACATAGCAAGCCCAAGGTCAGCCTGCGCTACATAGTAAGATTCTGTCTCTAAAAGATCTTTTTTCTTTCTTCCTTCCTTATTTTCTTTCTTTCTTTCTTTTTTCTTTTTCTTTTTTCTTTTTTCTTTTTTTTTTTTTTTTTTTTTTTTTTTTGTGTGTGTGTGTGTGTGTGTGTGTGTGTGTGTGTGTGTGTGTGTGTGTGTGTGTGTGTGTGTGTGTGTGTGTGTGTGTGTTTTGTTTTGTTTTTCGAGACTTGGTTTTTCTGTGAAACAGCTATGGCTGTCCTGGAACTAATTCTGTAGATCTGGCTGGACCCAAACTCAGAGAGATCCACCTGCCCTTGCTTCCTGAGTGCTGGGACTAAAGGCATGTATCACCATACCCAATGTAAGTGTTTCTTGTGTTTTTCTTTCTATTTGTTTTCTCTTATTCTGTTTATTTGTTTTTATTTTATCTTATTTTTTTAGATGCTTATGTGCTTTCTAATGAGAGAGAAATGGGTATGTATGTATTTGGGTGGGTGGGGAAGATCTAGGAAAAGTTGGGGAGGGGAACTGTAATCAGAATATATTGTATAAATCTATTTTCAATAATGATTTTTAAAAAGAAGTAAAGAATATAGTAGGGATGGCAAGATGGTTCAGCCAGTAGAGATACTTGTATGCTGGCCTGATAACCTGAGTTCAATCCCCAGAACCCACATTGTAGAAGAAAAGAACAAGACTCTCAAAAATTGTCCTATAACCCCCACATGCATGCATGAACATGCGCACGAACACACACACACACACACACACACACACACACACACACACGCCAAATAAATAAACAAATTTAAAAATAAAAAGAGTCAAGTACTGAAAGAGCACTCAAAGACTCAAGCAAATCCAGGATGTGAAGAAGGCTTAGGGTCAGAAAGTCAGTGTTACCTAATGTGGCCCTGAGCAAATAATCTAGCGTGAGCCTACAGGGAGCTGGGTGTCGGGTAGCACTCCAGCTCTCCCATGTACACTTCCTTCATCCTGGCCACTCTGAACATCGGTCTCACTGGTAAAATATGACTATCAGTAATGACTGAAGTTTACTGAGCACTGTGTCCTGTGTCGAGTCAAGCACATTGCATGTACCCAGCCATTTACTCCCTACCACAACCCCACAAGGGAGGAACTGTCAATGTCTCCATTTTATGAGCAAGGAAACTGAAACATACTTTAGTCATTTGCCCAAGGCCACCTTGTAGCAAGCCCAGAACCAATTCCAGGCCATGTGACTCCACAGTCTGTTCTGAAATCTGCTAGCCAGTGACCTCCCTACAGTGTTGTGAGGATTAAATTAAACAATGCGCATAAACCCTCAGCACAGCACCAGACTAAGATAGCACGATTAGCACATCTTCTCTTCGTTAGACATAGGGTGTTTGTGCCTACGGGGCTGAAGCCCAATTCCTGGCACAAAGGAAATTCTCTAGAAACACTCTTTTCCTAGTAGTCAGTCCTCACTTTGGGTCCTCTACATATTGTAGGTAAACAGCCCACATCCCAGAGTGCAAGCAGGTGTGGGGAAAGTTCCTTTATGTGATAAGAGGTGAGCACAATCTACTGAACACACCTTTCCTATACACAGTTCCAGGCCAGTAGGCAGTTTGTTTTGTTTTGTTTTGTTTTGTTTGTTTTTCGAGACAGGGTTTCTCTATGTAGCTTTGGAGCCTATCCTGGCACTCGCTCTGGAACCCAAGCTGGCCTTGAACTCACAGAGGCCTGCCTCTGCCTCCTGAGTGCTGGGATTAAAGGCGTGCGCCACCAATGCCCAGCTAGGCAGTTTATTTTTTGTTGCCTCCTCCTAATTGCCTTTATGATCTTCTAGAGAACAATTTCTTTGTATCATGTCACTGAGGGGGAATTGGCATTAAGTACTGCCAGTACCTAGGAGGTTTCTAAGGCTAAGACATGTTATAGTGGATGCTTCACCCCAGCCCCTGGCATCCGTATACCCAAAGAGTCTAGCATGTTATGGTGGAAGTTCCCATAATGGCAACACCGAGCTGTGAAATAGCACAAATTTGATGCAGAACTTGTATTTCTCTTTGAAAAAGACCTTGCTGCTTGCCTTCCTCTTCCAGGGCAAAGCTCTGTATTTCTGGCCTAGGCAAGAGAGGAGCCAGGCTATAGCGGGTGAGCAGGTCAGGGTGCTCGCTTGTTCAAAAATGACCTAGTTCAGGTGAGCATGGGAGAGCATGGCCCATTTGTCTAGCCCTAAGATCAGCCCCTCCTAAGCCAGAGAACCCAGAAACATTGGCCTTGGCCACTGACTGGCATAACTGCATGGGTGTGGTCTAAGTTTGTGGGCCCTGCTTTCCCTTTTGGGTTCTTTCCAACCTTCCACCTCTTCCCCAGGGCCCACATCTTTCCCTTTCAAATTAGCTCTTAAACCATGGTCTGAAACCTCTTAGGAAGATTCCAGAAAGCTTCCAAATTAAAGGAACTCTGCTCTGGTCAGGACACCAAAAACAGGTGAGATAAGCACTGGCTCAGGGAGTTGGGCCGTGTTCAGCACACACATGTCCATACCTGTAGAGGGGTGGTCAGTTTCTGGGGTATCTAGAGGGTGGCCAGGCCATGCATACCAGACCCTACCGCATCACAGCTATGGAGATCATGAGGTAACTGTAAGGTAGAGGAAATGAGCCTATTGGTATCACTATCTGAGCTGCTCTGTGAAGGACCTGGGGTGGAAACCTCATGATCCCAGCTCAAAAGGGACACTGCCCTGGGTGTTGGGAAGAATGAACTAAGGTACTGCAGAGGAAAACGTTCTTGGGGTTTCCCCCCAAACCACTGTGGGTCTTGGCTTCCTCACTGCCGGCTGTGAACTGAGTTGTCTTCCACACCCAGGATCCCAGGTACTGGATGGAACTCCACAAGAGGGGCCAGCAAACATGTGAAACAAGGGCAAACAATGTTTATAAATTTCCAAGCTATCACCCAGAAACTTGAAAATGGGTATACTCTACTAGATAAAGAGATTCATCTGGCTGCAGACAAACAAGGACAAGGTGTTGGAGAGAGATTGGAACTTTATTGAGACCTTCTCCCTGATGAAACCAGAATGGAAAGAACACTAGAGAGGTCAGCCACTGTTCAGGCACCTACACGGATATTCCACTTGGAAATCTCTGGATCTCATGTTTCCCCTGGGATGAACCTCCCTCCTCCTAGAGTCAGAATCCTACTCAAAATCCATCTCCCCACAGAGATGGGCAAAGAATGCATGCTAAACCCTGTGCTGGCCCATCAGCTGCCAGTGGACAGGAGAGGAAAGTGAATTGGGAGGTGAGAAGAGGAACAGAATGGAGACAAAGAAGAAAAAGGTGGAGGAAAACCCAAAAGGACGGTAACTCTGATAAGGTGCCCCTCCCCCAAATACAAATACTGTATGAATTTGTTTCCCTTATTTCACTTGCTTCCCACCAAACATGCAGGTACTGACAGCTAGGCCAGAGTCCATACAGTTCAGCTTTTCTCCCCATCTCTCTGACTTCACTGAGAAAAAACAGATTTGCTACACAAAGCCCTTGGGCATGAGAAGCCTGAAGAAGAAAGGTGGGAGGGACAGTCTCCCCAGAGCATGTGATGGAGAGATGAGGAGAGGAGTTTTGGGGTTGGATATGTATTTTAATGGGAAAAAAATCCAAGACAAACTGCAGCTCATTTACCAGAGCCACCAGGCTCCATGGATGACCCTATAGAAGAAACTCACTCCTTGGAAACAGTGTCCTGGCAGCTTTGGAGTGTTTGACTTGTGGGAGGTCCTGGGCCCTACATAGAGTTAAAACAGCAGCCTCCCTTACAGCCAGAGCCAGACTGCTAAGTATTCAGAGAGACATGAACTCCTAAACCAAAGTTCTCTGTGTAGCCCCCACTGATTACCAGTCTGCTTAATACTCCCTACCTGGTCCTCAGAAGGAACAACTCTGGCTCAGCCTTCTTTCCCACTTCCTGCTTCTCCAGATGACTCACTGTTATTGGTGGATCCCAACCTATGCCTCACAATTCAGGCCCCCAGGAAAGCTTACTCCCCCCCAAAAAGCAGCTGGCTGTGCTCAAAGGAAGTCCTCAAGACAGTCTGACCTTTGCCTTGCCTGCTCCATCAAAAAGGCTCTTCATCTTCCCAGGGCTTCATCTCCAAGATGGCAGTGTATATCTGCCATGCAATACTCTCAGGAGTCCTTTCTCTGTGCCCTCAAGTCTATCATTGTCCTAGCTATCTCTTGTACAATGGACAAACAAATGCACACTCAATGGTGTGTGTAGGTCCTGACTGTATTCAGTGGATATCTTCAGGTTGAATTGAACCTCAGACCTTGTCTGCCACCTATGCCAAGGGCCTGGGACTGGTTCTGAGTCTAGGAATTTCTCTCAGATGGAAGTATTAGCGCATCAGGGAATGGAGAAGGGGAAGGAGAAACCATGGTTCTGAGAAGCAAGAGACAGGTCCTCTGTCAAGTGCTCCCACAAAGAAGTTGTAGAAACAGTTTTCCCCAAAACTTGGGAGAAGTGACTGTCCAGAGAAGCCTCCAAGGATCAGGAGCAAGGTCCCATTGACCTTTCTGACACCAACACCTTTGTGATCTGAGTTTCCAAGACATGCAACAGATAAAGACACACTGCAAACCAATTAACCCCTGAGCCCTTCCATTACTTTCATGCAAGTCATTTCCAGGAGGAAAAGTACCTCTTGAGTACATCATCCACTCACCCTTTTCAGACCAATTAAGTGTCTGAGCTCTCCAACTGAGACATCATTGAAATGATACTTTGGGTGGCAGATAACACCCTAATCAGTGTTAGTGTTCTGCATGCCCTACCCACTGGGAAGACAGGGAGAAGATTCCAAGGTTGGGCTCAAAATTCATGAAGATCAGACTCGAGACTGTCCGCTGCTGAAAATCAATCCAAGCTTAGGAGGGAGCCAAGAGGGATAGGGAACGGACAGAAGAGTTGAGTGAAAGGAGTTGACACTCACCTGAGAACCCTCTATTATTTGGGAAATTTCAACTGAGTTTAGTATATCTGACCCTCATTATCTTAGTATTCATTAGAAGTTAGCTGTTCTCTGTCCCTCCAAGACAAGACCCAGGAAAAACAAGAGAAGCCTGACTTGCCTGTATCAGGCCTTCTAACTGAAGCAATAAGACAAGCATAATTCACAGTTTCCACTCTCCTCCCTAGAACCCTTGTTCCTTCCCTGATTCACTGGTCTCAATGAACTCCCAAATCTCCAATGCAGACTGATTGTCACCAGTATGGCTCAAAGGGTTAATATAAACCAGGACTTCTCAGACATTTAGAACACAAGCTCATTCACCAATGGGGACCCGAGAATGGCTACACACAAACTAGTGCTTCCTGTAGCGATTCTTTGGGGCCTCACCACAGCCTGTTTTGTCACAGTTAGGAGCACCGGGATTCTTCCCAAGCCCAAGGCTACCCAGAAGGCCAGGGAGCTCCTGGGTGATGGCCCGTTCAATCTTCTCCAGGAAGCAACCCCCCATATATGAGCACTGCTGAGAGAGGAGTTTGAAATTGGAAATGGGGTTGATGCCAAAGAAGTCCTTGTAGGCCTCACGGTTGGGAAGATCAAACTTGCTGACATTGGTCTTTGCCAGGATGGTCTTGAAAATGTAGAATTTATCAGGATCTTCCACAATGTCCTTAAAAACCAGTTCCCCATCACTGAAGAAGGTCATTTTGTCCTTGTATGTCTGCAGATATCTGTCAACTAAAAGGGCGTGGATTCGGACACGGATGGCATGCTGGCGAATAAAAGCAATCTTGTTCTCTAACCTGTTTTCAATCACCTGGTTCAGGTCTTCTAGGAGAGAGATCTCTTCTTTGAGGAACAGTTCCCTGTGAGTGTCAGGCTTATAGTCCTGTGGCCAGAAGGAGCTGACATAAACCCGTGGAGGCTCTGTGACGTTGATGAGAGGGGCCAAGCTCCAGAAGAGAGCTCCGTACACCCGCATGAGCATTTGTGTGGCCAGGTTGTCAGCCTTGTTCAAAATGATCCTTATCTGGGACTCTCGTCCCTTCAGCTGTCGGAAGAGCATCTCCAGCTCCAGACCCACATCCAACTTGGTGGGATCAAAGACAACAAAGATGAGGTCGGCTCTGTCGATGAACCACTGACACACATCATTGAAGGGGTAGCCTTGGAGAGACAGGAATAAGAAGTCAAGCTGAGTGGGACACACGCAAAGCCCATTGTACCTCCCTTCAGTATCAGACCATTGTGTCAGTTTCCTGGGTTTCTAAATACCAGTGAGCTTATCAGAGATCCTCCTGATTCCTGGGATTAAAGGTGTGTGCCACCATCACCCAGCTAAGAAATAATAAAAAACTTAAAGGAAAAAAAAGTAAGTTATTTTCCAAATGTCTAAAAAGATCTAGGACAATGGCAAGGATGTTGAAAGTGAGATACCAGGAAGTCAGGCAGAAATAGGATGTAAGGCTTAAGAAGAAAAAATATGGTCAAGTGTTGAATGTCTATTGAGATCTGAGCTATTTACAGACCAGCTGGATGGTCACTGCTCATAATCTATAAAATTACAAAAAGAACAGTAATACCAAAGCTAAAGTAAAGACTACTATTAGGCTGGGTGTGGTGGTGGCACATGCCTTTAGTCCCAGCATTCAGGAAACAGAAGCAAGAGGATCTCTGTAAGTTCAAGGCCCACCTGGATGTCATAGAAAGTTCCAGAGCAGTCAGAGCTGTCTCAAAAACAAAACAAAACAAAAAATAATGTTGAGAGAGAGAGAGAGAGAGAGGGAGACAGAGATACAAAGATTACTATGTTTAAAAGGAAAGCACCCAATTAAATCTGCAGCCATACAGGTGCTCTTTTTTTTTTTTTTTTTTTGGTTTTTCAAGACAGTGTTTCTCTGTGTAGCTTTGGAGCCTATCCTGGCACTGGCTCTGGAGACCACGCTGGCCTCGAACTCACAGAGATCCGCCTGCCTCTGCCTCCCTAGTGCTGGGATTAAAGGCGTGTGCCACCAACACCAGGCTCAGGTGCTCATTATATATTAATTCCTCGCACTTATTGGTTTTCTTATTTGCAAAACAAGATGACAAAAAAAAAGCCAAGACCACAAGGAATACCACTGTGGTGACTGTTCTTGTTTGTCAACTTGACTACATATGGAATTAACTAAAACCCAAGTTGATGGGTTTACCCATGAGGGACTTAATTAAAGCATTTGAAGTGGGAAGACCAACTTTTAATCTGATCTTTTGAAGTGGGAAAAGCCACCTTTAATCTGGGCCACAGCTCCTCTATAAAGGACATGGAAGAAGGAAGCTTGTTCTCTTTGCCTGCCTGCCCTCCAACTCACTGCTAAGTTCATTCCTTCACTAGCATTAGAGCCTACTTCTTCAGAATTCCACTGTATACTGAAGACCAGCCGAAATATCCAGCCTTGTGGAATGAACAACTACTGGATTCTTGGACTTCCTGTTAGTAGACAGCCATTGCTTGTAAACCATTTCTAATAAATCCACTTTGTATCTATATAGAGAGAGATTGATATGATCTATATCATATATAGAAGATAGATTCATTCATTCTATAAATTCTGTTCCTCTAAAGAACTGTGACTAATATAGTTTTGAAAACACTGATTTTTTTATAATGACCAACAAAATAATTTATAAAGCTATCTGATTCATAATAGGGGTCTAATAAGATTATCTTAGCCGGGCATTGGTGGCGCACGCCTTTAATCCCAGCACTCGGGAGGCAGAGGCAGGAATCTCTCTGAGTTCGAGACCAGCCTGGTCTATAAGAGCTAGTTCCAGGACAGCCTCCAAAGCCACAGAGAAACCCTATCTCAAAAAAACAAAAAAAAGAAGAAAAGAAAAAGAAACAAGATTATCATAACTCTAAATAATGTTATTACTAACAAATCAGGGTCTAGTTATAACCCAAATGCAAGTCATAACCATAAATTGAGATTTTCTATTTGATCACATATTACTATGACTGCCCTGGTTAGGGCACATCAGTGCAGACAGTCCTGTACCATGGCAGTATTCAGTGCCCTATGACACAGCCTAATTCTTACTAGGCCCAGAATAGCAATGCCCCACCCTTTGAGGCAAGCAGGAGCTGGGAAGCCTAATAAGGTTTAGGTTAAAGCAGGCCCACCCAACAAAGCAGATGGTGGGAGTAAGAAGAGATGTAGACCATGTTCAACAGAACAAGCCCACGCCTAAGACCCAGGTTAGACAGAATTTAAATATAATTCACCAGGATCCCATTATCTAGACTCTCCACTATTCAGGATAGACAACTAGTTCCCAGCTTGAACATCTCCGAGGCCTTACAAAGAAGACCAGTACTCCTCTGGGAAAATACTGGCCATCTCCAAACTCAGACAACCCTTTAGAAGGCAAAGAACAAGATGCTCCAAACCCCAGGTGGTACCACAGCAACAGTTGAGAAGGAGTGGAAGAAAGAATGCATCTCTTGGTCTTGAACATTAACCATCCTTGCTTCCCTGCTGGCCTACCACCCTTTGTTGATCACAATGTCCTAAAACAGAGCTCTTGCTATTCAGAAATGGATTCGAGAAGAAAGAGGAAAGAGGAGAGAGAGAGGGAGAGAGAGAGGGAGAGAGAGAGAGAGAGAGAGAGAGAGAGAGAGAGAGAGAGAGGTATGTATGAGGTATGTATACATTGAGAGGATGGTAGGTGTCTTCCTTTACACTACTTTCTGTCTTACTTCTTTAAGACAGGGTCTCTCATTTTGTCTAGGCTGGCTTGGCCACAGTGCTCTTGGATAACACTGATGTTATAGGCACAGGTAACCATGCCTCTCTTCTTAGGTTTTTTGGTTTTTTGTTGTTGTTTTGTTTTGTTTTTGTTTGTTTTTTTGTTTTGGGTTTTTTGTTGTTGTTTTTCAAGACAGGGTTTCACTGTATTGCTTTGGAGCTTGTCCTGAAACTCACTCTATAGATCAGGCTGGCCTTGAGCTCACAGAGATCCGCCTGCCTCTGCCTCCTGAGTTCTGGGATTAAAGGTATGTACCACCACCGCTAGGCTTCATGCCTCTCTTTTTACTTGGGTGCTAAGGATTTGAATTCAGGTCCTTATGCTTGCAGAGCAAGTATTCTTACTCTGAGCACATCCCCAGTCCCCTAAATTACCTCTTTCCTGTTGTTTGCGGTTCTCAATGATGCCTGGTGTATCTACAAAAGTGACTCGTTCTAGAAGTTTGTGGGGAACCTCAATGCCAATCAACTTCTCCAGAAAATTCTGGCCAAACTTTTCCAGGGGTGAGAAGGATCGGGCACTGTCAGCAGCCATGACAATGCCCTCAATGGTTTTCAGCTTGGGCCCGTGCATGAGAACAGTGAACTCGGAGGTGGTAGGTTCAGCACCTGCATACATGGGTGAGAGGTGGAAAACAACAACCACTGAGAAACAGGCTTTCTGGAAGGGGTGTGGACAGCAAGGCGTCTTGGAAAGGGCTTCCACAAGGACAAGGTTCCTGCCTTTTCACTTTTTAATTGTGCCCAAATACATAAAACATAACATTTACATTTTAATCTTTAAACTTCTAGTTCAATAGCATCAAATATATTCACATTACCATGCAAGTGGTTAGTTATCCTCACTCTCCAGAACTTTATCATCTTCCCACACTGAGACTCTGTCTCTGTTAAGTAATAACTCCCCATCCCCTTCCTTGGCAATCTCTATTCCTTCTCTGCCTCTGAGTTTTTCCTATTGTGGAACCTCATATGAGCAGAATCATACAGTATCTGTGCTTTTTTGTGCCTGGCTTGTTTTAGCACATTTTCAAGGTTTATCCATATTGTGGCAAGGATATATCTGATGTATTCTGACAGCATGCATGTTTCATTCCTTTCTAGCTGTTCTTGTGTGTGTGTGTGTGTGTGTGTGTGTGTGTGTGTGTTACATGCACATGCCATGCCCCAGGGGTGGAGGTCAGAAGCCACACCCTCACCTTCTACTTTATGTCTTGTACACTGCTGCATAGGCCAGGTTAGCTGGCCTCCAGGCTTTGGGGGCCTCTCCTAGCTCCAATTCTGATCTCCCTACTGAAGTACTGCAATCCCAGACCCATGTGCTACTCACTTGGCTTTTCTGTGGATCCTAGGGTCCTGACTTCAAATCATCAGGCTTGCATAGCAAGCACTTTACCTGCTGAGCCAGCTCCTCAGTCATGTGACATTCCTTTCTAAGGCTAATATTCCATTGCATGCATAGGCTACATTTCAGTTATTCCTTCATCCAGCAGTGGACACTTGAGTTGTTCTACTTTGGGACTTTTATGAATAATGCTGCCGTGGAGGCAGTAGAGCCGCTGGTACTTGCATGTAATTTTCATTAATATTATTAATGGCATACAAGTGCTTTAATTATTCATCTGCTTTAGCAATTTAAACACTCCCAAAATTCTCACCTGTATAAAGCTGGTATCGAGTTTCTTCTAACCCAAGGAGGTAGTTTATCATGGTGGATTTGCCAACGCTCCACGGTCCCAGGAACAGCACCATTGGCTTGGAAGTAATCTCCCCATCTGCAGACGACAGAAGTGAACTAACATCAATTCTTACTGTAGGAGACAGTACTCACTGTCTCCAAAGCACTCTGCATTCCCCCACTGTCAGCCATCAGCTTATGGGGTTCTATGTAGATCACTGTGCAGCAGTCAGTGGCACTTTTCTTGCTTTACAAGTTCAAAAGACACCAGAAGTCATTGTTTTGACCTGTTCCAGATCCTTAGCACATCTGCCTGCACCAGAACGAGGAGCCGAGTGGGTTACTACCGAGCTGGGTGCAGTCTCCTGCCTAAATCTAGAAAAGAACAGTGCATAAAGAAAAAAGGAAAACAACATGGAGCTTCCGCACTGAGAAAGACTGAAATTTGCTACCCAGGTCAATGACAAGAGAAGAAAGTACATGGAAGAGGCATGCACAGTGTTGAACAACCTGACCTCCAGGTTCTGCTGCTGTCTTCTCCTCTCCACTGTGGCTCCCCAAATCCCCACGTCAAACTCAGACTAGTCTGAGACATTCTGTTCCAGAGTCCATAATAAGTCTTCCAGAGTCTGAAACCGAACACTGAAAACTGGGAATCCCTAAATTCTTGGGCTCTGGGGCCAACACCCTCCCAGACGCCATGCTGGGAAGTACACCCTACCAAGGCTGCTTAGCTGGGTTTCAAAAGCAGGGATGAGGGCTTAGGAGGGTGTGCAGTGGCAGAGCATTTACACAGCATGTGTGAGGCCCTGGTTCAATCCCTAGTGCTAAAAACATAAAATAAAAGTAAATAGGGGCACGGAAGAAGGTGAGAGTCTTTGGACAGAGATGATTTTCTTATTGTTGATTTCTGATCATCTTAGTTCTTTTCTGAATGATCTCCACTGAGCACCTACTTTCTCCAGACTTTTGCCTTCCTGAGCCTGCAGATAGTCCTCAAAATGTAGGCCTTCTTTTTAAACTTCTTTTTCATTTATTTTCTATAATTCTGTATAATGTCTTAACTCAGAAGTCTGAAGTACAAAAAGGCCCACTCTAACTAGGCCATAACACTCTGTCTAGTAGGTAACTAATGCTAAGGTTTTTTTCTTATTTTTTTCTTTTGAGACAAGGTTATATTATATTGCCCAGGATGTTCTCAAAGTCCCAGGCTCAAGAATCCAGCGATTCTCCTGCCTCAGCCTCCAGAGTATCTGCGACTATATTTGTGTTCCACGACACTGGGCAACATTGCTAATTTCTGGCATTTTCCCAACTTCCTTGACATCCAGCTCATCATTTCTGTACAGTATACAGTATGATTTCCCTCCTGCACCTGGCTTTTAGATGCCCAGGTTTTGTTTCTCCTGGGTAAGAAGATGGTGTCTTGTGGGTGGTGAGCACATATCCATGGCCTGGCCCCTTCCCTCCTGCCTGGGGACAGGATGGATTAGCAAGTCAAGAGATGTAGGCCCAGTTACAGAGATTTTACAAAAAGCAGGTGCTGGTTATGTGAGTTCTGATACAGGGTTGCCAGGTGCTGCTGTTCCAACTCTGCACAGCAGGGGGCATCGTGGGCATATGTGGGAGGCCAGTAATAAGCTTGAAGGATAGGGGCCATGCAGGAAGCTGGCACGAGATTAGGACAGAGAAGCCAAGTCCAGAAAGGGGAAGCCAGAAAAGAGCCAATTGGCCTTTGCTGAGAACCAATCCTGGGGCAGCTGGCACCCTCTTGGCCACTGAGGCTTTAAGTCTGGAGTTTCCCCAGGAAGGCCATGCCACTCTTGGTGTCAGAGTAGGGAGAGAAGGCAAGTGCAGAGGACAAAAGAACATCATTGGGAGATTCTGTAACCTCATACCAGGGTCTGCACATCCTCTAAGAAGCAGAAGAGGACAATTGACTCTTAGGCTTGTAAGAGTGGTAGAACTGACAGAACAGGGTATTCCCTGGGGAAAGAAACAGAATCAAAATCCTGACCGCAGCTTCGTGGCCAGGGTAACCAGCACTACCTGGACATTAGGTTCCTTTTCTGTAAAGTAGGAATCTATCTATCTATCTATCTTTCTATCTATCTATCTATCTATCTATCTTTCTATCTATCTATCTATCTATCTATCTATCCATCCATCTATCTATGCCCTCAGGTACCACAGCTACTCAATAGGCATTAGGATAATATGGAAACCGCCAAGTAACACAGGGAGAGACTTGTGTATCACTCACAATTAAAACAAGAGCTGGGGTTATAGCTCAGTGGTAGAGCACTTGCCTAGGATGCTCAAGGCCCTGGGTTCCATCCCCAGAACTGAAAAGAAAAAAAAAATAACAATTATGAAAGCTTTAAAACAGGAGTAAGAGTAGCTGTGGATATAGCTCAGTGACAGGGCACCTTTTTAGGATGTCTGAGGACTAGAGGCGGGAGATAGCCCCAAAACTGCAAAAATGAGTAACACTTTTAAAAATGGCAAACTGTGGTGAAACAAGAATTCTCTGGTACATTCCTGTGAGTACAGAGTAGAGTGCTTCAATGTGATTTTGCAACAGTGATCAAAATACCTAATTCTAGTGTTCCATATTAATTTTTTAAACATTTGTTTGTGGGGCTTGGGTGTTCCAGAGGATAAATTGTGGGAGTTGGTTTTCTCCTTCCACCATGTAGGCTATCAGGACTGGCAGGAAGTGATTTACCCACTGAGCCATCTTGTCAACCCCTCTACTATTTTAAAAACAAACCAGCAAACAAACAAATCATGTCCTACAGATATCTGTGCACAAAACATACAGTGACTATACTAGTGTTTGGAATGTTTTAAGTTCATTTTTTTCTAGACAGCATGTCATTCTAAAGCTGAGGGTGACCTGAAATTCACTCTGTAGCCCAGGCTGGCTTTAAATTCCCAGTGATTCTCTTGCCTCAGCCTGCCAAGTGCTGAAACTATTAGCAAAGCCACCATGCCCAGCTTTGGAGCATTACATTTTTTATTTATTACATGATGTGTTTACATGTGTGTGAGTGTGCACAGCTTGATGTGTGTATAGAGGTCAGAGACAACTTGCAGGGGTTGATTGTCTCCTACCCTGTGGAGTCCAGGAACTGAATTCAGATCATCAGACTTGGAGGCAAGTACCTTCACCTGATGAGCCACCTCACTAGCCCCATTTTCGGGGCAGGGGGGGAGGTGTTGCGGGGGGGGGTGTCTTTTTGAGCTCTGGCTCTCCTGCTATCACTATTAGACCAGGGTGGCCTCAAACTCACAGAGATCTGCCCACCTCTGCCTCCTGAGTGCTGGAACTAAAGGTGTAAGCCACCACTCACAGCTACTGACCCCATTTTTTTTTTAAAGATAGAAAAGGGAAAGCACCTATTGTCCCCTGGGAATTGGATACTGTTGTGCAGAGTCTGGTGTGTTCTTAGAAGACAGGACCATGAAGTCTTAATAAAGAATAATGGAGAGTCATATATATATATATATATATATATATATATATATATTCATGTATATACACATATGCACAGTTGGCATAGTATGATTCCATGTATGTGAGAAGAAAAAGACATTTCTATGCTCATAGATACAGAGAAATTATATGGAAGATCCTATTACTTCCTGTAGTTTTGAGCACTATAACAAGAAACTGTGAGTGGTGTCGTCTCTGGAAATGGAATTAGGTAGATTGGAGATCAAGAAAGAAGCTATGTGTGTGTGTGTGTGTGTGTGTGTGTGTGTGTGTGTGTGTGTGTGTGTGTGTGTTTTGGAGAGAGAGCTGCCATGTAGTAGCCCAGAGCTCACTGTATAATCTAATGTGACCTCAGAGTTACAATTCTCCTGCTTCTTCCTCCCAAAATGTAGGATTACAGTTATATGCCATCATGCCTGGCTTTATTTTTCAGTTTATATTATTTTATATTATTTGAATGCAATTAAAACAAAGATGTCTTACTTTTATTATTTTTAAAAAACCAAGTTTTAAAAGAATTCAGGCCCTATTTTGGGTGCAGTAGCACACGCATAAAGCCAGCTCTCGGGAAGCTAAGGCAGTAGGTTCCCAAGTTCAAGGCCAGCCTGAGCTACATGGTGAGACTTTGTCTCAAAAATCAGCAGCAGCAGCCAGGTGTGGTGGCATGCGCCTTTAGTCCCAGCACTCAGGAGGCAGAGGCAGTCATATCTCTTGAGTTCAAGGCCAATCTTGAAAAACCACACACACACAAATCATCATCATCTTCATAATCCAGGCCCAAAGGAGGCCTTCCAGGAGAAACAATAAAGAGACGGGGAGAAATGTAGTCATTTGGAGGGCTATGTGAGCAGGGACCCTGGAGGCTCTTGAGCCCAGGAAGGGTCACACAGGCTCACTGCCCTGGGAATCAAAATGCCTACCACCGAGACCAAGTGCTGAGCAATGACATCTCTGTCACAGGCTCAGTGTTGAGTGATTGAAGTTCCTGTCCTTCACTCCCCGGAAGAGCTCAGCTCCTGGAGTCCTAGCACACAATATATATGGATCTTGTGAGCTGATGTAGGCACCAGGGAAGTGTGAGTGGGCAAAAGGTGCAGTTCTGGGTCATGATACTGTACCTGTGATCTCGTGCTGTCGCAGCTCATTGTACTTGTAAGACTGCTCCAGGGGCTTGATGGATGTATGGTAGATCTTCCTCAGCCGCTGCAGTACCGCTGGGAGAGAGAACAAGGAGTGAGCATCAGGCAGGGCCATCAGGCTGCTCCTCACTCTACAGCGATCTCATACCCCAAGAGATTCTATCTGCCTGGTGAGGAGAGCCATTGGCAGCCCAAGATGGTGACATAATTGTGTTTGGGAAGGAGCTGGTCCACAACCCACCCTCAGAAATCTTCAACTCAAAAGCATTTCCTATACAATCTGCAATGCCTCCTGAGCTATTTAAGAAACAAACAAAAAAGAAAAACCTAATTCTTGGCCAGGCACTGTGTCATACACTTTTAATCCTAGCATTCAAGTAACAGAGTGGCTGGATTTCTGTGATTCCAGGAGCTTTCTGGTCTACACAGCAAGTTCCAGGTAGCCAGGCTACATAATGGGACATTGTCTCAATAATAATAGTAGTAGTGATAATAATGATATCAGACTAATTCTTAGGCAGAGCTATGGCTCAGTTTGTAAAGTGCTTACCTATCATGTACAAGCACAAAAACCTGGGTCCAATCCTAGCACCATAAAAACAACAACAAAGCAAAAAATAGGTATGGTGGCACACACCGATAATCTCTACTAAGGGGTGGTAGCAGGAAGATAAGGAGTTGAAGGTTACCATCTGCTACGTGGGGAGTTTGAGGCCAACCTGAGCTACATGAGACACTGTCTCCAGAAAACCTAGGTTGCTTTCAGCTTGGCTGAAAGTTCTATCCTTGGAGATGAAAATCTCATGTCTGTGATGCTGAAATCTAGAGCATAAGCAGGCCAGTGCCTAGCAGGCCTGTATGATAATGTCCCTGGGAGGATTCAGACATGCCCCATGTTCTGAAGGAGCAGAAACCCAGGGTGCAAGTGAGAGCTTCAGGGGGTGTATAGCACAAGAGAACAATATGGCAAACAAGAACCAGGCTAGTAAGGTTCTAGTCCTTGCACTGCCATTCTCTGGCTGGGTGCCAAGAGCAAATCGCTGTGCTAATAATCTTAGCTAGTTAATCAATTAAGAAAGGATAACAAGCCCCCTCTGAAATCCTTGATTCATTATGGGGGCAAAATAAAGCATAAGACATGAAAGCTTTGTAAAATAAAAACCAAAGCAGATAGGATGGATTTTTTTGGGGGGAAGGGGTGAGGTTTCGAGACAGGGTTTCTCTGTGTAGCTTTGGAGCCTATCCTGGCACTCGCTCTGGAGACCAGGCTGGCCTCGAACTCACAGAGATCCGCCTGCCTCTGCCTCCTGAGTGCTGGGATTAAAGGTGTGGGCCCCCAACGACCGACTTTTTTTTTTTTTTTTGGAGGATGGATTCTTATTAACCATCCCCCTCCCCAAGGATGGTGGTGGGGTAGTGGGGTGCATCCTATAGGTGATGGCTCTGGAATTCAACCTCTGTTCTGATTATCTCCCCCTCCCCCAGCTTTGGCCTTGTTCTCGGCATTACCTCACATAGCCCCCTTCCCCAGGGCTCTCTTCTTTGTGGTCCCTTTTGGCCTCAGAACTGCAGAGTTCTGGTGCCCTGGATCCCAGCCCATCTCCCTTTCCCAGGTACCTGTGTAATCGTCAGCTGGCTTGTCCTCATTCAGCATCAGGGTTTTCTCAATATGGGAGCGGTCCCTCATGGGAGCCTCTTCACTCACATCCTCAGTCTCTTCTGGAAAGAGAAGCAGACAACGTAGGGTCAGAGCAGATCTAAGCCAGTAGAGCTCTAAGCCTCACAGAGATGGAGCAGGGCTGGGCCTCGGAGAGATGCAGAACAAAACTGCCAAGTTGAATGAATTTGAAATGCAAATGCAACTTTTAAGACCCATGATCTATGTGTGTGTATTCATGTACGTGCAAGTGTACAGGAGTGTGCATGAGTACATGTGTGTAGGAACTTGTGGAGGCCAGAATTAAATCTCTGATGTCATTCCTCCAGATACATCCACCTTGCTTATTTGTTTATCCATCTTTTATTTTTAATGAGGTCTGTCATTGGTGTCTAGGGCTCACCAATTAGGCTTGACTGGCCAGTAAGCCCCAGGGCTGGAATTACAAGTGCACAACACCATACTTGGCTTTTGGGAACTGTAGATCAAACTCAGGTCCTCACAGTTGTTCGGTGAGCATTTCACTGACTGTGATGGTTGTTTTTTTGTTTTGTTTTGTTTTTGTTTTTTCAAGACAGGGTTTCTCTGTGTAGCTTTGGAGCCTATCCTGGCACTCGCTCTGGAGACCAGGCTGGCCTCGAACTCACAGAGATCCGCCTGCCTCTGCCTCCCGAGTACATGATGGTTGGTTTTAATGTCAACTTGTCACACATTAGTGTCACCTGAGTAGGGAGCCTCATTTGAAGAATTGTTCTGATTGCCTTTGTGGGTGGTGTCATTCCTAGGCAGGTGGGCCTAAGCTACATAAAAAAGATAACTGAGCAAACCTGAGGGAGCAAGTCAGTAAGCAGTATTCCTCCATGGTCCCTGCTTTAGTTCCTGCCCCAGTTTCCCTCAAGTAGATGAACAATAACCTGTAAACCAAATAAATTCCTTTCTCCACCAAGTTATTTTTGGCCAGTGTTTTATCTCAACGGAAAACAAACTAGGACACCGATGAAACTATCATCCCACCCCATTTACTGTATTTATTTTTTTAACTGTGCTGAGCATAGAATATGGTAGCACACACCTATAATCCTAGCAGTCAAGAGGCCAAGACAAGTGTCTCTCAAATTCCAAGCCAGCCCAGGCTGTATAGCAAGACCTTGTTTCAAAAAATAAAACAAATGTATCGAACACCTATCACATGCCAGGTGCCAGATGTCATGCTGGCACTACAGTGACACTTACACAGGCCCAGCTCCTGCCCTTAGGGAGTCATCCTACAGCCTAATGGGAACAAGCTGATGAACTGTCTTTAAAACGTGGTAATTTTGAGCAGCAAGGAGACTATAGCAGCTTTGAGGGCCTTAGATGTCCCTGACATCTGCTGCCAAGCCAGAGTTAGTAAAGAAAAGAAAGGAATTTTCCATAATGGGCTATATATGCTGCCATCAAGGAGTTGCTTGGGTGCTCCAGGACCTGACTAGACATCCTGAAAGACCACCACAGGGGCTTACATTTTACTCAAAGAGAGCCATTGAGAGACTCTACTTACACACATGGCCACTGAGAGACTCTACGTACACACATGGCCACTGAGAAACTCTACTTACACACATGGCCACCATTTTACCAGGATAACACTAATGAAAATGAGTGGAAGGAAGCGCTGCAGGTGTGTGAGTGTACATGTATGTGCTGGCAGTAGCATACAGGTCAGCTGTGCCACTGACCAAGCAAACAAGAGAAGCTCATACCTGATGAGTCCTAGGAAGAACATTGTTTGTGCTCCCTGGCCTCTAAGGTCATTTCTAGCAAAGCTGCCTATTCAGGGATCTTAGATTAGGAGGGTGTATCTTAGGCTTGTGGGACAGAGGGAGGCCAGTATCTGCATGGCTTATGCAGCATTTCAGGCAGTCCCCGCTCCCAGATCCAGATTAGGACAGATAGAGAAAGAGGAGGGCTTACTGCTTGCAGCACTGCCTCTTAAAGCATAAGTACCTAAAGAGAGTATGAACATTAAGCTCTACAAGAAGCCAGGCATGTGGTACATGCCTATAATTTCACAGCATTCTGGAGGCTGAGGCAGGAAGACCAGGAGTGCAAAGCCACCTTGACTATTACACAGTGAATTCATACCTAGCCTGGAGTACATAAACTCCTGTCTCAAAATACTGACCATGTCACCCTCTCCTCCTTTTTCCCTGTCCCTTGAGGGCTGTCCTACTCTAGAGGGGCATTTGGCAGCAGTCAGCCTCAGCTCTCATACCATGATCCTGACTCCTTGATTCCTGATGCTCACACCTCATGTGGGAAGTCTTCAAGAGCAGACTTAGTTGGAAGAAGAGTGAGTGACCTGTGGTTCCTAACCTGCCCTACCAATGAATGCCCTGTACCTGCTTCCACCAGCCAATCTCAGGACCACAAACCTGCCATCAGTCCCCTATCCTTCAGGCTGATCCACATCTAGCCCCAAAAGGAGCCTTCTTGGTCCTAACTCAGAAATGGTCAGGTCCCTCTGAAGATTCCTGCTAGATCCATCCACACTGAAGGTTAAGTGGCTAAGGAACTGCCTAAGTGGACTCTGTGAGCTGATCCAAGAGACAGGGCCCTACCTAACAAAGCCAGAACTAACCAGGAGTTATCCCACCCTCCATGTTTGTCCCATAATACACAAGATTTCCATAAAGAATATATCCACCCAAGGTTCTGAGATTGCCTAAAGGAATGAGTTCCTACCCTGATGAGCAATTACAGGATTCCCTCTCCCCTGTTGTCTCTCTTTGGATGCCTCCGCCTCTGTTTCCTGGGTCTTGCCACTCTCAGACCCTGTGTCCAAATCTTCTACACCAAGCTGGGTGCCTTGCTCCTTGTGTTCTGTGGTTCCTGCTGCTTTCTGGGGCTCTCCAGCCTCCACGGTGACGTCTCCTTCTTCTTCTGAGCTAGCTCCATCACCACTGTCTTCTTCAGACTCTTCTTTAGATGGAGCTCCTCCCTCTTCACTTCCACCTTCTTCACCACCCTCTTCCTCAGAGGAGGCTTCAGTCAGGCCCTCCTCAGGCATCCCTGATACCTGGCCCTCAGGAAGGTAGTTCTTTGTTTCCCTGTCCTTGGAACTCTGGATGTCCCCAGACTTTTCATTGGCCTCTATAGCGAAGCCAGCCTCCTGGCTAGGTCTAGGCTCGCCTTGGTCCTCAACCTCCCCCCCAGCTTCTGTATCCACCTCAGCCTTTGATTCTTCTCCAGCAGATGTGGCATCCAGGGCTGTAACTACCTCTGTAGGCTGGTGACTAGGCCCTGGGCTAGCCTCAACTTCTTTTTGAGAGGAATGGACTTGACCCTGGTCAACTGCTCCTTCTGCAGCTCCTTCTGCAGCTTCTTCTGCCTCTACTCGAGAAGACATGCTGTCGGAGACTGCATCCAGGTCAGTGGATTCATCTTCTGACTGCAGGGCATGGTCCTGGGGCTGGTCCTCTGCCCCTTCTCTGGCTCTGGCAGCCATGGCAGCCTCTGATTTATCTCCAGTATGTGTGGCATCCTGAACTCCATCTAGCTCTGTGGATTGGTGACCATACCCTATGTTGCCCTCACCGTTTGCCTCCACTGTATAGACCTCTTCACCCTCTATGCTAGGAGAGACTTGGGTGGCTGTAGACTCTGTTGTCCCTGCTGCTGCTTCTTTCATGGGGCTATCTCCTAAGATTCCCTGGGATTCCTCAGGGACCTCACTACTTCCCTCTTGTACTTCTGCCCCCACACTGGCAGCCTCATCCTGTCCCGGTTCCTCTCCAGAACTGAACTCTGGCCTCCCTTCTTCTGGCCCCTCCACCCCTCCTGGAGGAAGGGTGTCTGCTACTGCTGGGCCCTTCTCTTCCTCCCCAGGCCCTTCAGCATCCCCAGATGGAGCAGACTCTGCAGCTGAGGTATTGGACAGGCTAGCTTCCGATTCGGAGCCCTGGCCGTTGGCAGTGGAAGGGACCCCTGCTGGGGTCTGCTCCAAGCTCTCAGCCTCCCTGCCGTCTGGGTAGTGAAGGAGCAGGTTCTTGTCTCCAGGGGCCGCATCTGCATAAAGCGCCCTTTCTTTCTCCTCTAGACTTGCATCTCCAGCAGAGAAATGATTCTCCAACAAATTGCCAACATCTTCTGTGCCACCCGAAGCAGAGACTTGCAGTTCTAAATGATTAGAACATGATTGGTCAGTTCACAGGGTTGGCACTTGCCCTGCTTCTCAAGAGTCTATTATCAGTCTAACTCCCACTGCAGAGAGCGCCTGGTGTCCAATGTTACGCCTCCCAACTCTGGACCACCTGCCTCCCTCCAAGCCTGTGGGGGTCTACAAATTATGGAGTTAAAGGGTTGACTTTCTGTCTACTCAGGGAGTTAGCAGCTGTAGTAACTCAAGAGCCCCCAAAGTCTGGTCCTGACCTTCAATTCTTCCCTGGGTCCTGATGACTATATATGGATAGAAATTTGGGTGAGCCCTTCCAGTCCTTCCTCAACCTTGCAACGGGTGTGGCACGTGCCACCTGGCTCCTGAGGAGCTATTCCAAGATAGGACAAATGCTAGTGCATTCCCCTCCATGTCAGTTCCTAGAGTTATTAACCAGTGTGCTTTTTATACTGCTATCAGCAAAGGAGTGAAAACAGGTGTTTGCAGGCCAGATAATCTTAGGTTACAAGGCAAAGTACTTAGGGGATTACTTGTGGCTCTTGGCTTTATTAAGTCACACATCTAACCCTGTCCCCTTAAGGGCAGGCATTCACTGGCCTCCCTACCTCAGATTAGAGGGAACAGAGGGCCTGAGAAGGAGCCATCCAAAATGGGCAGGACCTGGGCTTCCCAATGGCCTCAGCCAACCCCTTCTGAGGGGTTCCCCTTCTAAGGTCCTGCAGCTGTACCCCCAGAACAGAGGGCACAGGGAATAACAGAACAAACGTGGGCCCAGTCTGTGCCAGAGAATGCCACCAAGGGTCAAGCTGGGTATTTTTGGAAAATGGGGTAGAAGCAAAGCTTAGACCTATCTCATCTGACCTTCCCTCCCAAACTGGAATCTGTTTAAGAGGAGCCTGCAAGAAAAACTACAAGACCACGGGAAGGGATGGAAGACAGCTCCTCTTAAGGAAAGCCTGGTGCTTGCATCTCCTCCTTCATTGAAGTAAAAAGCCTTTCTGTCTCCAGCCATTACAGTTAGTCGACCTGTGTCAGCTCCTAAAGGGTGGGAAGCTCTGGGGCACTTATTATAGAGGAGTCCTGTATACAAATGTATAAAACTTCACCCCAAGCACACTAGTATGCACAGCTATTTGTAAGCTTGCTTATTCTGCCTGGCAGATTTTAGACCCAAATTAGTGATGGTCTTTGGTTTGCCACAGATGCGTGGCCACCCATGTGTCTATGAGTTGACTAGAACACCAAACTGCCAACTCCTAGTCCATGATGTAGTCAGGAGACACAGGAATAGTTGATGGGGGCCCCAGCCCCTGGCTACATGTACCCTCTTTCCAGGGTCATGCTCCTGGCTCCTGGGGAGCAGGACAGATCTTAATTGTGTGTTTCCAGCACTCAAGACCCTTGCCTGCCCTGCAGAAAGTTCTAGAAAGTTCTAGAAGTTCTACATTCACATGAGAGAACCAGTAAGAATTCCTGGTTCCTTGGTCTCAGCAGGATGGGAAGCTAAATATTACTTGCCCCAATTCCTTCCCCTTCATTTCTATCCCCCAGTCCCTGAGAAGAATCTGTGGCAGGAATGTATTTTAACCTAAGGAGACTGGCAGCCCTCTGAGCAGTAAGATGTAAAATACATGAGATACATTCATTTAATTATTTATTATGCCTGGCAATGGAAAATATCTCCATCTCACTTGATTTACTTAGACTTACTTGCTTCTGGAAAGCAAATATTATTTATCTCTCTATCTCTGACTGTTTTTTGTTTTGTTTTTCAAGGCAGGACCTCTCTGTGTAACCCTGGCTGTCCTGGGATTCACTCTGTAGACCAAGATGACCTTGAACTCAAAGATCTGCCTGCCTCTGCCTCCTGAGTACTGGGATTAAAGGCATGCGCCACCACTGCCAGGCTACTTAAATCTCTTTACAGGTAAGAAGACCGAAATGCAGGGCCCTACCTGTATCACATGTCTGGTAACAGGCTGAGAACCTTTGGTTTCTGACCTGGAAAGGACATTGCCAGGCTTTGAGCAAGGTCATCACTGTCAAAGTGTGGTCCAGAGACCAGGTTCTTCCTCAGCATCACCTCAGAGCCTTCTGGAGACATGTCTCAGGAGCCAGCCAGAACACACGGATCAGTGCCCTTACTTAACTCAATGCCCCGGGTGACTAATTTACACATTCCTATGGTCTCCACCACTTCCTCTCCTTTCCTGTGGTTTTCAACACATGGAATCACCTTGTTCTTGATACTTTATTTCCTCCCCTTCCTTAGTAGTACAGATTTAAATTATCCAGGATGCAGCCCTACCAACAACAAAAACACATCTTCAGTAATCCCACACACAAAGTCACAAACCACTGCAGCTTCAAAGACAAGTAGCTTTGATCTCAAGACTTCTGCTCCCAGCCCCTCCACACTGGGAGAGTCCCCACTGGAGCTCCCAATTTGGGTTAGGCCTCCAAAAGCTGGCATCTTCCCTCGGAAGAGCAGTGGTTATCAGCTTTCTTCTCTGATGTATCTAACCCTTTCCGCAGGCTCCTGTTGCCCTATAATGACAAAGATGGTGATGATGATGGTAGTAGTGATGATTACTGAGCTAAATAGACTCTAGGTCTAGCTTCTTGTTATGTTTCTGATATTCTCAGAAGTACTTCTGTTAGGCAGTGGTGGCCTTTAATTCCAGCACTGGGGAGGCAGAAGCAGGTGGATCTCTGTGAGTTTGAAACCAGCCTGGTCTACAGAGCAAGTTCCAGGGAAGCCAAGGCCAAAAAGAAAAACCCTGGCTCAAAAAAAAAACAAAACAAAACAAAAAAAAAAACAAAAACAAAAAACAAAAAAAAAAACCTTTGACTCCAGTGGGAGTAAGAAGCTGGCATCATCCAAAAGAGCGTGAGGAACTAGATGTTGAAGGGATACCCGACCTTCACACTGCTGTGTTTCCCCTTCCAGTTTACTGGACCATGTGTGTATATACATTAATATCTCCCATCTTTGGTTTTTACATCTTAAAGCCAAAGTCCCCTGCTAAGCAGTTTGGAATGAAAAAGATTGATGCCCCATGGCCTTCCTTCTCAGGCTAAAACTAACTGCTCTGGCAGAGAGTCTTTCAGTGAAACCAGCTGTCCCACTGGGGCTCCCAGAGCTCACCCTCAGGAAGCATTGGACCCAAATCTGTTGTGGGAGGCACAGCTGATGCTCAGTTCCCTGAGATCCAAGGCCAGTGTCCTTCTTTGCCTCCCTCCTGGATTCTTGCCAGAGCCCCTGTTGGTGTCCAGAGAAGGAAGGTTGAGAGCACACAGAGGCTCCTAGTGGGCTGAGTTCTGGTGAAATGAGTACAGTTCTGTATCAGGACATGAAGTATCCTACTGTATGAACTGCTGCCAACACAGCCACCTCAGCACTGGCCAGCCCTGGGCACTGACGTCAAGGCACACGAATAGCAGGCCCCCAGCACATCCCCAGAGGCCCATGGAACCCTAAGCACCTGACAGGCTGAGTCCAGCCTCACTCACACTCAGGCACAGCCTGGCACATGGCAGCACTACCTCTCCTGGCACCCACTCTGCCATGAGCCCTCTTGGGGAATCTAGGCTTTTTGTTGCTCTCTTGACCCCACACCCCAGCAGTAACTCCACTGCTCTGTTCTTTCTCCCCATAGTCAAACACTCTGGCTTTGTCCCTCTACTCCTTCCTTGTCCCATAGCACTTCTGTGGACTCAGAGATTGATGAGTTTCCAAGGGCCTATGAGTGCAACTGGAGAGGAGGAAGCTCTGGCCAGGGATGGACTTAAAGGCTGGCCAGAGGACAGGGTCAGGCTGGGACAGAGCCCTTGTCTGTGGCCTAGTGTTCTCACTGTACCTGGGTGCTTTACCTGTTTGTGTTCCAGGAAGTAGCTAAGAGGAAAGGGAAGATGAAATAGCCTAGAGCTAGGGCCTCCTTCATATTCCTTACACCCCCGAATCTATCTGCCCCACTATCTAGAGGGTTAGAATGGAAGATGAATGTCAACCACAGCTC